TAAAATTCCAACAACAACAACATCATCAACACCAACATCAACAACAACAACATCAACAAGAACAACACGCATCAACTCCCACAACATCACACACGTCACAAAACACACCTTAATGATGTCGTTAATGCGTCAGCCGCGACTAATTTGAAGGGCGCCAGAGCGAGAAGACCCGGCTCAATTTAGATTGATGTTAGACAATCGATTTGACGAATTTTCAAATTTCAAAAATAGAACCCTCGAGGTATCTTTTAGAACATTTCTATTCACTCCTACTGATCAAACAAATACTGAAAAGAATCGCATAAACATCAAACTAATTTTAGATACACATTCATTTAGTAATTGTAGTAATAGCGAAATGTTTGTAATAGAAGTAGTAATGATAACTGCAACATTACTACAATAGTTGTAGTAGTGGTAGTAGTAGTAGTAGTAATAGTAGTAGTAGTGGTGGTGGTGGTAGTAGTGGTGGTAGTAGTAGCTGTGGCTGTAAAAATTACTCTGTGATTCAGTATTAAGGCAAAGTATTTTATTCTGTTATTATTTTCAAAGCCGCGGGCGTAAGAGTAATAAAAAGGATGAGTATTACTTACTTTACTTACTACTAATGCTACTCTTAACTTAGTTCTTCGTATGCTTGTATGTGGCTGCATGTGTGTATGTGCCTGTATGTGTGTGTGTACGTATCTATGTGTGTGTATGTGTGTGTGTGTGTGTACGTATGTGTGTATGTGTTTGGATGTTTGGTTGCACTGTACACACACACACATGTGTATTCAGATGCCCTGGTTTATTATTATTTTTTCATCTTTCTGATGTCTTTGATGCATGAAACACTAGAGAGAAAGAGAGAGAGAAAGAAAGAGAGAGAGACAGAGATAAAATACATAGATAAATAAGAAAAATAAGAGATAATATACACACAAACAAACAGCAAACCTGCACGCACACACGCACACACATACATACACGCACACACACACACATACCTTCTAAACAAAATTTACTTTCTATCGAATTAATACTTATCCGCATAATCTTATTAAACCGTTTTCATTGGGGATCATCTTACTACTCTCTTCATACAGACATACATGCACATACACATACATACAAACATACGTACACAGACACACTCACGTTCACATCACACATACACAGGCACATTTTTAAATTTAATCACATTAAATAAAATTACATACAAAAGGCTTGGGATACATTTATTTGATCTTTCTAGTGATAAGAATTTAAAAAAAAATCTTTTTGATAAGTTGAACATCAAATATAAAACTAATTTCTTGCACATTATTATGTATGTACGTATGTTTGTATGTTTGTATGTGTATCATGTGTGTGTGTGAGTTTTTGTGTGTCTTTGTGTGTGCCCTTCAAACAGATTCTAATTTAAACTGGACGTGTTTATGAATATGCATGTGTGATGGAATGGAGGTCTGAAATTAATGGGTATGTTTATGTGCGTGAATCTTAGTGTGCATGTGTTTGTGTGTGTGTGTATGTGTGTATATGTGTGTGGTATTATGGTGTGTATGCCAGTCTGTTTGTCTGTATACATGTGTGTATGTTTGTATGTACAAGTAGTTTGTTTGTATTAGTTCGTATCTCGATGTGTTTGTTTAATTGTATGTATGTATATTTGGGAATGTTTTTTTGTAAAGAAAAAGTTTCTTCATTCAACTCATTCACTCATTTATTCATTCATTCATTCATCATTTCATCCATGCATTCATGCTAAGAAGAGCATTGGTCTCAAGCAAAATACTTTTACTTACAAAAGTGAAAAAACCTTGTTCAAAGCAACAAAGAGAAAAAAAAAAGAGAAAGAGAGAGAGGAAGAGGGAGAGAGAGAGAGAGAGAGAAAGAAAAAGGCGGAAAAAGAGAAGGAGAGAGAGAGAAAGAGAGAGAAGAGAGTGAGAGACAGAGAATGAATTAGAAAATTTTTAGGATTTTAGACATTGCTTTAAAGTGATGTATTAGTGTAAATAGTAATATTAAGTTTCATTGAGTTTATTTGTTTTTCTATTCCTTGGTTTGTTTGCGTGCCATATTTTGTTTGTTTGTGTGTATGTATGTGTGTGCGTGTGTTTGTGCGTGTGTTTGCGTGCGTGCGTGTGTGTGTGTGTGTGTGTAAGTATAATGCGATAATGTTGTTGCTGCTTAAAGTAAATTTTTTAAACAACAGTTGTCTTATTGTTTACGGTTGCACATTACATTTGTTCACTTGTGTTGTTGTTGTTGATGATGTTGATGTTGTTGTTGATGTTGTTGTTGTTATGATGACGACGACGACGATGATGATCACGACGATGATGATGATAAAGATGATGATGATGGAAAACATTAAAAAATAAAATATAAAAATAAAACTCCCTTGAATAGTTTATGTGTGAAGTTTATTTAAACTGCTAACCTAGGCACTCAGTTTGAGATTTCATCGTTTTTTTGATCTATGATCTCCACACACACAAACACATACAAACACATACACAAACACACACACACACATTTGTACATACATAACTTCGATAGACCGAATAAATAAAATGCCTGCCATCAAATCGAACTGTCGATAACTAAATTTGATTAGACGATAATCTGGTCGGTTTATTATTAAATTTTACAATTTCATTTCACCTTTATTCATCCTTTATTCCATCTGTCCATCCATCCATCCATCCATCCATTTTTATTCCTATTTGCTTATTTATTCATTCATTTATTCGTTCGTTCATTAGTTCGATGTTCATTAGATTCTATAATTCATTGGTTCTCTTGTTGTTTGTTCGTTTGTGTTTGTTCGTTCAAAATCTAGCAACAATAAATCATCATTATCATCGTCATCGTCAACAGCAACATCATTATCATCACCAACGTCAACATCATTATCATCAACATCAATTAATATCATCTTATCGGTAATTATTTCAAATTAATCTTTAATACAAATAATTTTTGATACAAATTAATTTTATTTTCATCAGTTTAAAAGTTGGGTAAAAGAACCACCACCACAACAACAACAACAACAAAAATAATAATAATAATAACTTTAACTTATTATTGTTATTATGATTACCATCTCTTCCAACATTATTATCGGCGATTGTGAGGCAAGACAGCAGAGT